AGTGTTTGAAATTGTATTGGAGTGTGGAGGTAGTGATAGTATATAGTAGCAATTTATTATGGGATGTCCAAATCTCCCACACTTTTCACACAACAAATTCAGTCCCTCATAGAGTAGCATCTGGTAGTGGTGTCCAACGAGTAGATGAGTTTTAAGAGGCTTCTCAAGGGCCACTTCTATGCATATCCGAGCATACTTTCCCCTAGTAATAGAGGAAGTAGATGCATCAACCTTTAATAATTTACCTAGTTTAGAACCCATCTTTGTTAGAATTTGCTCATCATAAAATTATGTTGGAAGCTCTGGGAGACGAACCCATATAGCTGAGTACGTAAGCTGCGCAGACGATGCATGGAACTTAGGCTCCCATTTTCGAACAGACAAGAAATGATTTAAGACAAACCAGGGTCCCTCATGCAGTGCTTTAATCATATTTTCCTCCTTTTGAAATTTGATCAAGAAGAAATTGAGCCCAAATCTATTAAAGGAAGATCCTTAGATGGCTTCCATAGTCCAATCAATTTAGCATGCAGGATTTGATGGGTTATTTTTCGACCAAAAAGCTTAACAATTACGGAGTATTGCCAAGGCATATATAAACGACATTTATCTTCAGCAGTAATAGGAATAAATACGTATTCATCTTGATTGGTTGCAATACTCTCATCCTGTAGGTCAAAAGAGTGTGTAATACACTGTTGGATATACGGGGTTGCTGGTTGATGTTTATCAGAGATTAAGGCTTGAAGGAAAGAGGGTGAAGGATTGATGTTTGTTTTATCGTCAATTTGCATATTTCCTATATCCGGTGGTTCTATAAGATTGTTAGTAGAGAGGCATGGTGGTATATGATTATTCATGGCTAGTGAGTTAGTAAACGTTTGTTGTGTAAGAGATATGGAAAAAAAAATTAGAGAGAGAGTCTCTCACATCTTTCTATATTCTAGTGGTTAACTTTAGATAATTGCTTCTTCTCTGCGTTTTCTTTCTTTCTTTCTTTCTTTCTTTCTTCTTCTTCTTCTTCTTCTTCTTCTTCTTCTTCTTATTATTATTATTATTATTATTATTATTATTATTATTATTATTATTATTATTATTATTATTATTATTATTATTATTATTATTATTATAGAGAGGAGATACATATTAAAGAAGGAAAAGAAATAATATTTTGGTAAAATACTCAAGCAAATCGATAACATAGTTATATCTTAATGAACCTATCTTAATAGACACAACCTCTTTCTAAATAAGAACTTAGTCGGCTTCCAAATTCAAATTTTAAATTAAGAAATTTAAACATTTAACTAAATAAAACAATTCCACGTAACTAAACTCTTGCACCAGCGTTGCATCTTATAATCTCAACTCTACTCGAAACCCTAATCTTGTCAATATTTCTACTTAGAAGTGTTATTATGCGATTGGCTTCTTCTTCTCCACATCTATCTTTTCGAGCTTCTAGGGTTAATTTTTGGCAGATGCTTCGTTCTCCTGCACATCTGAATTGGTTAGTCATTAGAATTCATCTTTCTCTATTTTCCCAATGTCATTCATACTGTACTATTTGGATTTCTTCCCTTGTGATTACATCATAGCTGTTGACAGAGGTGAGAGTTTGATTTATCCAAATGCTTGTATGTCCCATTTTATTTTGCTCCTTTTCCTCCTCGATTTTTGTTGATTAACAATTTATAAAATTCCCGTTCTTGATAAAAATTCAAGCTTTTCCCACTTTCTCTAAATACCCATTAAGAGTTTCAGAATTTTCAAACTAATTGGGATTAAGACGTACTTGCTTAAAACAGTCTTAAGGCTAAGCAGCGTCTTGAAATGGGTGTTTTCGATTTCGGATGCTTCGTTACAATCTCTTAAGGTTTGAGCAAATTCCTAGAGATTTAAATGGGCTTCGGCGCTATTACAAAGAGTTGAACAGAGGGATTTTCTGAGAGGTTATTTTTGATTTCGGATGCTTCGTTACAATCTCTTAAGGATTGAGGAACTGAAAATAATTAATCAATTTCGGGAAACCACAGAGTCAATTACTCAAATGGTCACTCAACTATCTTAAATTATCTCCTAAAGTCACTTTTCTTTTGTTTGTAACAACAAAGTCACTGAACTATACTTATTGAACTATACTTATTGCACTCAGAAGTTCACTCAACTAGATTTTCCAAATTCCTATTTTACTCTCTAAATTATAAATATTTATCTTTTTTTTAACTTTTTAATATTATGATTCTCCCTTTTTAATTTATATTATGGACTTACCTGTAGAACAAATAAGTATTATTTATAAATTAAAAAATAAAGTATTTAAGCATTTATAATACTGGAATAACAAAATAATAAGCATAGTAAAAAATATTAATTAGAATAATTTGTTCGTAATAATAATTTAGTATTAACAATAAAAATTCAAAAATATATTTACACAATTCAGAATGAAAGAAAATAAAAGTTGTAAAATATATATTTCATGCACTTAATATAAAACTAATTATTTAAATAAAAGTATTTTTATAATATACATTATATATTTTTGAAAATTATGCTCAATTATATTATATATATTCCATGCACGACTTAACATAGCATATTTTACTCTATACAGATAGTCCCCATGATTTTCGGTAACATAACTTTGTGTCGTCGGAAAGTTGGTAGAAACATAATAATATAACTGAGCATAACTTTCAAAAATATATAATGTATATTATAAAATTACCTTTGTTTAAATAATTATTTTTTTATTACGTGCATGGAATATATATTTTATAACCTTTATTTTCTTTCATCCTGAATTGTGAAATTAAAATTTTGAATTTTTGTTGTTAATACTAAAATTATTATTACTAACAAATTATTCTAATTAATTTTTACTATTCTCATTTTTTTTTTATTCAGCATTATATATGCTTAAATACTTTTTAGTTTTTAATTTATAAATAATATTTATTTATTTTATAGGTAAGTCCATAATATAAATTAAAAAAGGAAAATTATAATATTAAAGTTTAAAAAAAATAAAAAGAAGATAAATGTTTATAATTTAGATGGTAAAATAGGTATTTGGCAATCCAACATTTGGAAAATCTAGTTTAATGACTTTCTGAGTGCATTATTGTTACAAGCGAAAGTAAAGTGACTTTAGTAAATAATTTGGAATAGTTGAATGACCATTTGAGTAATGTCAACCTTTTAGGTAAGTACCAAGTACCAACCAAAATTTTGTTTCAAGCGGTACAAAAAAAGCTTAAAACACATTTTTTTTTTTTGTGTACTCTACCAAGGAGGGACGAATAACGTTATTTTCTCTTCTCACTAATTACCACTAACAAGGGAAGCAAGTTGGGATAAATCTGTGAGCAAAGATTATTTTTAGCCTATGATCGAAACTATTTATGTCTAGTAGTCTAAAAAGTGTATAAATTTGTATATTTTTATATATATAACATACCTATATATATATATATATATTCGACTATTATTTTTAAAAGGGATATATAATGTCATTTTTCCTAAAACTATTTGCTCCATCAAATACATCCTTTCAAACTAAAAGTAGCTGTAGGTTGCGCAACGATTAGGGAAAGAAACAGGACAGGAGCATCATATACGTTTAAAAAAAAACATCATATTCGAAACATGGAGAAGGCCTCAAATTCAAAAATTGGTGCATCAAAATTAGTAGAAGTTCCCGTCAATTAATAAAATAAAGATAAGACCAGATGACAAATTGACAATGAAATGGAGGATTTGGTTGAGGTTAGCTAGTTGCTCTGCGGCATGTCTATTTCATTATTTAAGAGCATGTGCATTTCTGTCTTAATTCAACAAAAATCACATGCTACGGTCACTATTAGAGCTTCACGTTTCCTTAACTGAAATGGAAAGTATGATATCCATACAAATTACAACAAGTTGGATGTTTGTTCAATTGTTTGGTTGCCTTCAACTAATGTTCAGTTGTTGCACTTATACTTGTCTCTTATCTGCTACAACAGCATAACAAGGAAGAAAAGTAATTGGATATAAGGATGCTTCTAATCTGTTTTCCAGCAACTGTTATACTGTGTTTTCTTTGTTGGTACTACTAGCCTCCAAATCTCTAATATTGGTCTAGCGTGTGTGTTTACCCGTAAAACAGTACAGTTGAATTTTCACGTGGTTTATAGACAAGCGAATCGATTTGATCCAAAAATGATAAATAAATTAAATGAAAATGCAAGACTTAGCATTGAAATTGAGATGAGACAACAGACAGCTTGGTCTTGGGAGCAGAGCTTCCGAAGACAATAATAATAATACCAATAAACAAGAAATAAGGTGTTATTGAGCTTAGAATAATGTATAGCATAAGCTTGTCAAAAAAATTATCCTCATGAATGTTGAATTCAATATTTATAGTTGCACCTAGGGAACAAGGTCCTAGGATCAAGTCTCTCTTAAATGACACTTATGGGGGTCATTGAAGAATGTGTAACGACAGAGTATGAATGTCATATTCTCTATAACGGACTATGTATTTAATACTGCAGAATATTTTTTATTGAATGCTATCGGGTGACGCATTCATTTGTCTTCATGAGCAACATTCCCTTCGGGAATTTTCCGGTGCCAACCGGAATTGCTGCTCCCAATCGTGATTTCCACATCTCTCGTTTTTCAATTTTTTTTCCGGTTCCACGTGTTCTATTATACGGCCATTTAATACGAACTAATTTTACCCTATACAGTGTGCAAAAAAAGTTTATAAAAAGTCTTGGGTTATTTCACTAATTATGTAAAGGTTTTGAATTGAATGTTCAAAGTTGTTGTACTTATCCAATCTTATCTTGTCTCAGCATGGCCTTAATAGACACATGATGCTTGCTTGAGAAAGATTATATACCAAAATTCAATCTTAACAATCTACTTAGCCAACTGCTTTCCTATAACAGTGAACAATAAAATATGACATCTGTTATAACAAACATAATATTTGTATAACATAATAAGAAATCAATGTGCCAAGATATTCTCCAAACTTTTGTTACAACATTACTATCTCCAATGACTTCTATTCTTATAATCAAGCCATAGTCGAAACACCACTACATTCCATGCAACAACCCAAAGCTTAATCTTGATTGTTAGTTTGCTGTCCAAACCACACAAAATGCATATAAAAACTCTCCTGTTTCATTCCTAAGTATACTACCTTCACCACTTTCACTCAAGCTACCCAAATATGATCCATCCGTTTTAGCTTCAACGGTGCATTGGGCATTCTCCAGCATATTTTCTTGGCACTTAAAGGCGTGCTATAGTTCGCCAAAGTTCGACGCGAGTACACCCATGAGGTCCAAAATGCATTTTCAGTATTGAAAATGCAATTTACATAGTCACAATTTGTTTTGTCATAAGTATTAGGGGTATATTATGTATCAATCTTGTAGTCCGGCGCTGGCCCTTACCCAGATCATGCAGACAGCGGAAGCTTAGTCCGGCCCTGGGCCTTACCAGATCATGCAGGCAGCGAAAGCTTAGCGCACCGGACTATCCTTTTATTGTGTATCAACATTGACTTCAATCCCAAAGCTTCATTCTACATAAAGCAGCACTAATGAAACTTTGAACATCTTCGCTGAAGTTAAAAAAGAGAAGCATTTATCCAATACATAAGCAATTCTTCTATGCAAATACTTCCAAATTTACTAACTTGATATAATTTCTTTACCAAATCTTTATCAGGAAAAAGAAAGAAAAACTTGCAATTAGGACTAAAGTAAATAAAACTAGGAACAACCAACCCCTCACAAAAAAGCTCCAAAATTCAAGAATCTGTCCCATCAATTGGAAATGGGTTCCAAAGCAAAAGCGAGAACAACAAGAGATTAGGCACAATAAATGGAATCAAAGGGTGAACATCACTTCCTAAATGTCTCCTTTTAAACCTTTTCCTCACATACAGTCTCCTCTGTTCATCTCCCCAGTGAGCTTCCTCTAATCCCTTGGCCAGTATCAATGGAGGGGGTTGTTGGTATGGGCATTTGGACCTCCAAGAAGTTTCAGGTGCCCCAAGTCTTGAAACCCTTTTCAGAAAAACTGAAAGAGCCCATCTCAGATTCACAGAAGGGAAAGTGTTAGTGGAATATTTGGTGCACAGAATTGGTGGATAGTCCCAGTTAAGGTAACATGGGACTTGGCTAGAAATGAAGATTTGTGAATCCAAGGATGGTTTAGTTGTGGGATTGGTTATTATGTGTGTTAATGCTTGGATTCTTTGATCCCATCTTGTGTCTTCCATCTTCTTGTTATCATTGCTTTCCTGTGGATGGTAAGTTCAGAGCAATTGGTTATCCTTAGCTGAGTTATCTGGCTAACTTGGATGTGATTTGGGAATGTGGGGAGAAGCTAGTGCTGCTTTTGGCCAAATTTCAATTTGACCCCTGATAGGTTATGATTATTGCAATATTGGCCCTCCAGTCCTGAGTATCCAATGTGTAAAATTTGTTCCCTAAGATTTAAAATAACATAAGGGTCTTTCGGAATTTTAAATCAGGATTAGATCTAAATAAACATATTAATCAAGATTTAAAATATAAGGAAAATAAAAAAGATATACCATCAAAACGTTTCCTTAGAGGTGACTACATTTTTGTAAGAGAAAAAACTAGGCTCTGAAAAAAAAAAAAATAGGTTCTGAGCTCTAACAATTTTAGAACGTGTGGTGTCATCTCCAATCAATAATTTTCGGCCATTATAAGTTCTCTACAATTTTCTAATTGTGTTTTCCAGTTTAGGGAACAACAATGAAAGTTTTCAGCTCACGTTATGGATAGTTATTCATAAGCAAAAAATCAAAATCTTTACTCGGAAGAGCAAACGAAAAGAGCATCGGAAGATCTGTACTCGTAGACTTATTATTATTTTTTGTTCATTAAGATTTTGTGATGGTTTTACTATATGAGCTAACAATTTAGTTTAAGGTGATGTTAATAAAGAAAATGACAAAGGGGTTAATACTTAATTGGGGCAAAACAAGAAGAGCAGTAATGCATTTGATTGATAACAAAAGCAGCAGTGACATTCACAGTACCTGTCATAGCTGACAATTAAGCTATGATCACTTTCCACATCCGTAGTGTAACAACTACCACGAAGAACCATAAGGTGAATTTCCTCAAATAGAGAAATGGCATTTGTTGAGGTGAATATCTACAAAGTGTACAAGAGATCAAAAATTTCACGTGGTCATGATTTGCTTCTTTTCGTGTAATAATTCTTGGTTGTCATGTGCGAATTGTTTGGTAAACCAATCATCGCTTTGAGGCGAATCCTACCCAATCTCGTACAGATTGTCGACCTTCAAAACTTTCTTATAACTAAAACCTGACAAAACACTACCTCAACTTCATTCTTGACGTAATACACCATAATCTTTCCATGAATAAGTATGCCTGTGTCGCCTATGCTGTTACCTTTCTAAAAAAATTATGTTTGTATCCGCCTAGCTAAGGTGTGAGAAGAGAAGCATGAATACACTTAAAATGGGAAAGACGATCAGAGCTGAGGCCTGCCAAAAGTCGAGAATTCCATTAAGCACATTAGTGGGGAAATTATTGACATGCGAAGATAAATAAAGTTCAGAAAACTCAGTAGCATCAAAGTTCTTACCACTAAGAACACCACTTCTTCATTAGCTAAAGCCGCAGGAAATTCATTCCTTTCTATTTCATGCTTTACAAACTTCTGCAGCTGTGTAGTTATAAGCTGTCAGAAAATCATATAATCGTACTGAAGGGTGTCCATCCAACAGCAACTAAACAATCAAGGACAGAAATTTTCACATTTTCAGTTACTAACTTAAATATGGCATCAATACACAGACAGACACACACACAAAAAAAAAAAAAAAAAAAAAAAAAAAAAAAAAAAAAAAAAAAAAAAAAAAAAAAAAAAAAAAAAAGTTATGCATCAATTCACGCACACATCGTTAAATGAATATTTTATTAATAATACACCACGAAACAGAAGAGGTCTATCCATATACACTAAGCTCCAAAAAGTCTAGGTAACCATCTATGCAAGTATGCATATCCATCTTGCCCCAAAAGTACAGAGGAAACAAAAGATTGTTTTTGACCCTAGAAACCGGGATTTGAACTCCTTCACATGTACTGCGGTTACCAACTTAAATATCAAAAATAACTATTTATCTTGAGATTGCTCATTAAAGAGGAAGAGCAAAAGCTAACCATAAGACGACATGAAAAAACAAATGTAGAATGTCAACCCATAAACTGATTAAGCAGCAATAATACCACTTGTTAATTCCAACCCTCCTAATTAAGAAAATTTGAGTACCTCATAATGGTATTGTCTTGCAGATGCAAAGGTCCTCTGTATATGATGCAAAGCTTGATCCCAGTAGGAATTAGGATCAGCCTTACTGTATGATCCATATGGATGCAGAATCCCCTTCAACGTTTCGAGGTGGTTGCCAAAAACGTTTTTGATGAACTGGAGATCACAAGAGTGTTAGTTCTCTTCAAAGACTTGAATGCCTAAGAATACATCGAGAGCAATCATGTCTCTATACGATGTTCCAAAGGAGTGAGCAAGCTAGGAAAATTTAATGAGCATCTTTCAGTACCTTGACAAATGGACATTTACTGGACCTTAGTTGCCTTTTGACCTTCAGTGTTCTCATCTGACATATAAAGTTGTGATTCAGCTTTGGCCGCAGTTCTATTATAGTTTTAATGGTAAATACAACCCAAGGCATAAACAAGAAGATACCTCTGCCATTTGAACAGCTTGCTCAAGTTGTTGTATCTGAATCCATTGTTCAGACACAATTTCAGCCATCTGCGAACCCAAATTAAATAGTTTATCAATGAAAGATTACAGAGTATCATAATACTCATACAGAGAACTTTTGCCACATCTCTTGCCTAAGAAGAAAATGCATAGCAGGTTATTAACTTTTCATTTCCTCGGACACAAAGTGGTGAAGGAAAACCATTTAAGTGGAAAAAAGTTCTATTATTCTCTTCTACCATTTCTTTTTCTTTGAATGCTACAAATTTTTCCTAAACGAAGAAATATGATATCGTGTGGACATCTTGTTACCATTTAGGTCTTATTCCTATCTCCTGTGCATGAAATAAGATGATTTCTTCAACTGAAGAGAAATCTTAAGCGTCCAAGTCTGCAATAACTGTCATGTTTACCCTAGTATACAGTAAAGATGTTTCAACACACTTCTACAGAAATCTCATTCTCAGGATGATGAAAGAATCAATCAACATCTTAAAAGACACTATTTTCTTCCACTTGACCTGCACTAGAGAAACATTATTTACTGAAGTTGTTTACTCGTGGCTTTACCAAACCTACCTTTTCAACTTGAGACGCAAGAACTTTTAATCTTTTCTGACCATCTTGTGCTTTGAACTCCAATGTATGAATTTCAAAGTTGTTCTTTCTCGCCACATCCCAAAGCAGTCGTACCTATGCAACTGCCTCATTTATCTAACTATAAGATGAGAAACTTTATGGAGAAAAGAAAGCAGTGATCACGTGGTAACCATACCTTTTCTTCTAGAGTATTAATCCTTGACGAGTGATGCTGAAGAAAGAGAAAAAGACAGCATTCATAAGGAATGGATGTGTATCATTTATTCCATTGTCTCATATTGACACGAATTTCACTCAGGTTGCATGAATTATAGATTCTCTAGTAATATTAGCACAATTCCCATGAAGGCATGCCTCATTTACCTACTTGACATCAGACGAGATCAGGTCACAAAATGAAAGATCAATCAAGAAATCAAAATCATCACAACCGAGAACCTATTTTTGAAATCATATTCAATAAAATGACAGAGAACTGAAGACCACCTATTTTATGTACGAACATGTGAACCAGAAATGCACTTGGAGTTCACAAACTGATTACCAGCAACAAAGCTGCACTTGCACAGCCTTAATATTCACAGAACTAGCCATTTTTTACAATCAAAGGATCATAATCAGACAGGGAATTTAGGGCATACTGTTTAGCTTTTTGCACGAGCATCATCAAGATATATAAGGCATTAGTTTTTATCAAAACAACTATCTGACATTTGAATGAACATATTCCCTTATACAAATACAAGATTCTGCTCCCTACTCCCAATGGAAGAAGACATTGATGATGGGGTTGGAGGAATAAATTCTCTTGGGATATGCCATAATAACTGTTTCCTACACTAAATTTATTTGGAAAAAAAACCCTTAAATCACAAGTGCCCCGTTCAATCCCTTCCATTATTGTCACTAACTGTCAACCTACTGAACCTCATCGAATTCAGATCCTACTCGTAATAACAGAAGATCAATAGAACGGGACCATTCGTTTTGACTACTTTAGCATATTTTCTCATACTAATTTCTACTCTACTTTTCCATGCAGTACCAGACATGGCATAGAATCTTGCAAAGAACAAGGCCTTTTCCGAAAAAACCAATTCATTTGGATAAGTCAGATATTAGCACACATGAAAAACGTAAACTGGCAAAAAACAAACCTGCAATTTGGACAAAGCGGTTGTAAGATTGTCAATTTCTACACTAATGTCCTCGATTTTCTTCTCAGCTTCTCTGATGTATTGGCTTTTAGCATTTAAACTCGGCATGCTTTCGTCAAGGATGGATTCTGCAATCAAATGCACCAATGTTAAAATTTTACAGAACTAGCAGAATAGTAGCAGGCGAAAACATAGCATACTTCTCGTGAAAAAATGCTACTGACAAGATATCTTTATCTAAGGCATACGAAGACCAAAAACTGCATGGTTAAAGGGAAATCATTGTATTTATATGGCAGAATTATGAAAAGCACATATTAAGAAGTGGATAGATAGGGCCATCAAGACACTAGCACAAGAAAGAACACTGTCCCTGCATTCGTGCGGGAAACTCAATTAAGGAAAGTTAAAAATCCCACTTTGCAATGCAATGCACATTTATATAGAAAAAGTATAAACAGAAAGAAAAAGAATAACACTTTCCAATGCACATTTTCAATATAATGTATCAATAAGGCTTCTTAGCATGAAGCAAAATTTTAAGGTAAAGGTACATAATATCTTGCCCTAGTCCAATTGAGAGATTACTAGCATCAAGTTATTCACGCGTATACCCACTACCCTCAAGCTGGTTTCCTATCTATTGTAATGAGTAATCACATATTCCAATGATAGCCAAATCTTTCCTGACTATCGATAGTTAAGAATAAAGAGGGGATACACGAGCCTGGCAATGAAATGAAGTACTCATATCAACCAGCTTATAATGAAACATTTCCTGAAACCCTCATAATCAGTGAGTAGAATGATTGTTTTGAACTATTCTTACTTCTAAGTTCTAACAATAAACCGGAACATAAAAAGTAGTAATTACTTGTAAATGAACTTTTATGCGTGTGCATCTCTTTTGTTTATATTTGTAATTACATGTCAATGCACTCGTGTTTGTGTGTATAAATATATCTTTAAATATGTAGTTCTTAAACCACAAGAGAAACATAAGCATTGAGCCATGTGGAGTTCGAATTTCAAGGGTGAAAGTGATGAGTCATGAGAAATAACCTAATCGAGCGATTTTAAGCTTCGCTTCTTGCAATTCGAACATCACCGAATTCTGATTCTGTTGGCCGGACGATGGCGGAATCTGAGATTCGACGGGCGGAACGAGAGCTGCCAGAGAGAAGAGAGCAGTAAATATGGCGGCAACCAAAATTAAGGAGATCGCCATCTCCATCTTCGTTATTCTACTGAGTGCTGAGATACTGCTGCTAAAATACGCATACCGTTTACTCTTGCTCTTTTGTTTTGGTTTGACACCGTAGGCCCCATTCGGGGAAGCGAGCAGTCCCGCACCGCATGATCTTCACAAAAAGGACAAAAATAGCGGAAGAAAAGTTAGGAAAGATAAACCGAGCTACATTTTGTTAAATTTAAAAAAAAAAATGAAGAAGAATAAACCGAGTAAAAATAGATTATTATAAAAATGAACTGAGTAAATTATCTCCCACTATTCACGAGTTTATCCGCAAATAAAAAAAGAAAGAATGAGAACAGAATTTTTTTTTTTTTTGTGTACTTCAATTATAGTATAACTTTGAACTGCTATTTCGACTAAATTCATGCAATAATATTCACTACATAACAATTTTTTCATTATTATTATTATTGTTATTAATTATTGCATAGACTAAACCAAATGTCCCCTTAAAAGTATGGAGAGACATTGAAGAACTTGAGAATTATCGTAAGTGAGACCGAGTTCTTCTGAATATTAAACTAAAGAAAAAATGGGGAAACTATAAGTGTTGGTATCAATTTTCACAGGATGGACCTAATTAGAGCTTTGCTCACTTTGTTTGGTCCAGTGCACAAGATCCTGCCAGTTGAAGTATTTGACCATAAAATGAACACACAGAAACTGTAAGGAGTAAATTACTTCCAAAAGAACAATCAAAATATCAAATACTGGTAACTTGCATTGGAAAGATTGAGAATCTCTTACAACCCAATATTCTAGGAAATAAAAGGGAGACTTCTAAGTTTTACATCTTCCCATGTTCGTTTAAGGAGCTACTTGCATACCATAGTTGATATAAAATAAAGTCGACTAGCCCCAGTCAAAATAACCATGTTACATGATTCAAATCAGCATTCAGGAAAGACATTTTATCTGCAACTATAAGAGCTCCCTTACAAGTGTTTCTTGCAGTCACTGCTTTCTGTATCGTCAAATTAGGATACACGGTTACTATTGCTGCACAAACCATGTTTCTTCCTATAGGAAATGTGTGGCATGCAAGGCACAGTTTTGCAAATCAAAAGGGGCATTTGCAGGGTTCGATGCCCCAACTCTGTTCTGCATATTCTTCTATTGTTCTATCGCTGCTGAATTTCCCTGAACCGGCAGTAGAAAGTATGCTCATTTGGGTCCACTTTTCTTGATCAACAAATGCTCTATCAGCGGCCGCCTGTTGTCATATTCTGTCAGTTCCAAACTGAGCATTTCTAACATAAATAGTTGCACTAACAGATTGGTTTGAAGCATTACCTGAGCCTCTAAATAACTAGCAAAATCAGATCCCAGGAGATAAAAGTCTTTACCCTCCTCTACAGTGTCACATAGCGACTTGAAGTAGTCTTTGAAGCCAAAGTGACCATCCCGGACCATCCTACACGTATAGTACAATAAGATGAGCTAAAAGCTGAAAACTCCCAAAGTTATTCTCATGAACCTATGCAGTGCATTTCACTAAGAAAGATCATTCATGCAGTAAGCTTCATCCTGTGACTAAAAATCTTGCAGAGTTAGTTGATCAAGACAATCACATTCTAGCTGGCAATTGGAAGCAGCTTTTATTTCCTCTCTATTTCTTTTCGCTTTTCACAAGTTACTTTCCAGGTTTGTAAAGAAAAATGTGAGATAAACGTCAATAAATTCTTTATGCCTGTCAGCAGAAAGCTTCAACCACAGAGCTGATATTACTATGATCATAGTACTTTCCTTCTGACTTCTTTATGTTGTTGGCTTATATTAATTATCCATGACATTTCCTATAAAACAAGGTTGCAAAGAGAAAGTTATGGCACTATGTCCATTTGAATTCTGTTTACTCTGACCAGGCATTACCCAAAAACTTATGAAACCTTTGCTGCACCACATCATGCATATGTCAGCAACATTCGAGAGAGGAAAAATGTAACTGCCACACAGAGATAAAGAAAATGGAACAGAGAACAAAGTAAACGGTCTTAGTATGCAACATTATTCACATAGAAAGCTTTAACTAATTCACAGTAGATGTAGTTTTAACTAAGGCTGCCTCTCAACAATGAACAATCATACTCACAGCTGCGGGCAGCCACATAACCTTGAACTACATTGCAATTGCAGACAGGATTGGAAATACTTCAGATACAACACGAATCCTATGGTCAGGACAAACCTCCAAGAACCTTGGAAGCAAAAAAATGACTTTAATGCTGGTTTGTTCTCCCAACTCATTTATGATAATGAAAGGTAGAGAAATTATAAGTGTGGATGAGTGATACCATGTCATAAAGATCATTTATGTGACAACGATATACCCATCAGCTTTGACAATCACGCTAGTGAATGAGACATGGTATAGACGATCTTGGAGGTCAAAAAACAAAAGCTAATGTGTGTGACTGTGACAGAGAGAGGGATGGAAAAGACCATATCCAATAATTCTCTAGACTACTGTCAATTTTCCAGTGGCAGCCAACAGAAAGGAAACACCTAGACATGGCAGATTGTTCATTGGGGACAGTTGGATAGATACAGAGAGTAGGACGTAAAACTCAAGGGAAAGATTGCTCAAACTACACTGCGTACCTTACAACTCGTGCAAATTGAAGTGAACCTTTGAGGCTGGTTCCTTTTTCTCGCAACGCTGGGACCTCGTCTACCTTTGCACCAAAAAGAAACTGAAGAAGAAAAAGAAGAAGGAACAAAAGAAAGTTATCAAACAAGAAAATGGGGTCAATTAAGGGGACCATATCCTACAACACTTGTTTTTTCTTTTCTTCTGTTCTTTTATCATCATTTACACGTGTCTACTGTCACTACTTACCATGTTTGCTGCCCCTATTTCTTCAGCAATTTCAACAGCTGAGCCATCTGCAGTAGCTAACAATAAAGAACCGTTCATCAAAAATTTCATACATCCAGTTCCAGATGCTTCATGTCCAGCAGTACTGCAAAAATACAAATGATTTCTATACGTTGTTAGCACACATCTGTACATGAAAGATTCCTGGTACATCAAGTTTTGCAGGAAACTGCTCATACTGGAGGTATTGGTACCAGTTGAAGCAAACAATGACTTTCACAGTGAAACAAAGAAGCAGTCAACGCGAACTTTGACCATCCAAAGAGGAAATAAGTGATTTTAATTCTACTTTGGGAGAAACAGCAGACATTATCAGGTAAGACAGTGTGTTGTAATTGTAAATTGCACCTGTTAAAAGATAAAAACAGAAGGGAGGGCACAAGATAAACACTGACCTTAGGTGCTGTGAAAGATCAGTTCCCGGAATTACTAGTTCGGCAACAGAGACATTATAATCAGGGATGAAAACCTGAAATATCAGAAGACGAGTTCATTTCTCCTAAGTTTTAGCTATCTATAATGACATTAGAAAATGGAAGTATAAAAATTCTGAGTAGTAACATTCATATCAACAATCCAGGAAAAGTACATTAATAGTAGGGGATGGGGAAAAGAAAGCAAGGATCACATATAGAGTAAACCCTGAGAATGTTTTAGATCAATGACATGCCAGATCAATATGTAGGCACAGTGAAGTCTTGTAAGACAACAATTTCATAATTCTGCAGCCAAATGGTAGAAGTGTTTTCATTAACTTTCCTCAAAAGTTTCCAATTACGGCTGACTCTAGAATGAACGCATCATTCAGGAGAAGACATTATGGGACAGATTGTTAGGGACTAACAAAGTAATGCTTCGAACCTGCTTGCTATTCTCTTCTCTTCCTTGTTCTTTCATAATTATCTTTGCTCATTCCATGTTGTATTTTTCAGAAGCAGATCAAGTTTCTGAATGGACATTCTCATTTTCATAGAGAAAAGGATGGACTATGGTTTCATTTAAACATGATGAGACTGAACATAATTGAGGTTACAAACAAATAAATCAAATTCTTGTCCTACCACTTTCAGGAGATCCCCAACATCAGGATCAATGTTAACTTTATCAGCCACCACATGACAAAGTTTGATGATCTTCTTTGCAACTTCATAGCCAGGGGCAGCTTTCCCACCAATTATACATACACGAGGTACAACTCTCCGCTTGTCACTTTCATCCATATTCTTCAAAAAAAATATTGACAGTATAATGTATCAGAGAGATGATTCATCAAGTACAGTTCGACCGATAATAATAGCTGTGAAGGATAATAAGGAGCTAACAGAACTTCTAGAAAATAGACTGATACTTATAGGCATATCCATATTCTGAATAAACAAGGTAAGTTAGATACTTTTTGTGTCAGTAAAAGTAATTTTGGAGCAACCATGAGTATTCTATTGAAGAAATGACCAAAAAAAAAAGAAAAAGATAAGCTCCCAAATATCAGGCCACTGGACAGAAACAAAGATTCAATGGGCAAGAAGAAGAAATTTTTTAGTTGAGACATGCGTTTCTGTTGGTCGTGATATTTCTGCAGCTGGTAGTGAAATCATGTGGTCTGTTCTATTTTCAAAAATGAATTCTATAACAAGAATTCAACCAAATTTAGTTTCTGTGGCTTCATATTTGGCGCATAGGCACATAAGTCCACGACAAATGCCCAAAGCTTGATCAGATACAACATCTGAACCAGAATTAGCAAAAGTAGATGTCTTTAGGCTCAAAAATTCAGAGTTTGAACTTCCAAAAGAAAACAAAATGCTGGTGATCCATAATGAGGTAGAAAGTTTTTTCAGGCACCTTCTAAGCCACTTCCCATTACCTAAGCTGGCCTGCCTGAAGTATGAACAAGGTGATTATTGCATTACCAACTAGTTCAGGGAGTACGTTCGTAAGTGGTTATATCTCCACTCGACAGTCAGGTTTTGCTCAGGAATATTATTCTAAGAAGAAGAGGAATGTAGAGGATACCTTAATGCAATCATATCTGTGGATGATGCCTAATATGTTGAGCAGTTGTCTTTTGTATTCATGTATTCGTTTTATCTGCACGTCAAACATTGCATCCAAGCTGACCTGCAATATAATGTATATAGCTTGGTCAGGTGACAACATACATGTAGGAAACCAGCAGAGAAGGAAGTGAAATGGGTATGTGCAGAAACCTTCACGCTTGTAAGTGTTTCAATGTACTCAGCCAGCCTCATTTTGTTAACCTTCTTCATCTACAAGTCAAAAGTAAAAAATGTATTATACTGAAAAGCAATAAGCAGGTACTCCTTTCAGATTGAGATTGCAAAGAAAGATCTCATACATTCTTCCATTCGGCATGTAGATCTGGATCTTCTGCATATTCTCGTAAACCTGCTATGAGGTCCACATTACGGATCCATGCTTCTGTCCCAAGCCATTTTGAAATAATTGAACACAAGCTAGGATTGCTCACCACTATCCAACGGCGCTGACAAATAGCAATTCAAAATGTGAAGACTGAAGAGCACAGCACAGTGCTTCAAATTTAATTCATATCATCTTTTTGCATGCCCATTTTAAACTCCAACAAAAGGCCCCCAATTCCCAAATAAAACTTATTTATGATGTCAGAAAGAAGATACAGAAACTTTGAGATTGGATATGAAGCTTGCTATTATGTAAGTACAATACCTACAAAAGGCAGTAAAGGAAAATCAGAAGTTTCTGAACTATGTCAGGAAGTTTTGAAGAATAACTGTCAAGTCAAAGCCTGAGGCAGAAATCTTGAAATTGAAAAAGTCGAATCACAACTAGCAGTCACAATTATGCACCTGAGTTACTCCATTAGTCTTGAACTGAAATTTCTGAGGCCACAGCTCATAAAAGTCCTGCAAGACACAGCAATTAAAAAAATGATCTCCTTTTGAAATATTCTTTTTGCTAGCTAACTCTTAGGTTATGAGAAAAATTTATGATGACAGTTTTTTGGTTCCATTCAAATGAGATATCATACGAAACTTTGCACTGATTGGACGACTGGTTGCCAGTTTCGTTTCCCATATCTATGATCCCACGTACTTATGTGATGATATATATATATTACTATTTTATGCCAAATATAATGTGGAACAACACTACCTGCATTAGCAATACCTGGATAATAACACCTAAAATAACAAAATGCCCTCAAAATAAGTTCCATACTTTAGAAAATGAAAAGAAAATTATGATAGTGTTATTTAAAAATGCATAATAATTTTGAATTTGAAGCATCTTACTAAAACTTGTACATCTATTGTAAATGCTAAACCAATTTTTGGCGTTGGTGTTACAAAAGTGTAATTGTTAAATACTTGTTTCAAAAAAGAATGTGTAAACGTTAAATTTATAGAAAACCAAAAATGGGAACCCTGGGTTAAAGCGGTGATCACCAAATCAGTCTTCAGGCTTTAAGTAGAAATTTCAAGAAGGGCGAGTCTTCATTTTCCATCTTCAAAACCTTATTGGACGCTCTTTTCATTTGCCAAAAATAAAAATGGAAATGAATCTTACATAAATGTTTACTGGAACATTCTTAGTTGAGCCAGACTTCTACCAAATAAAAGTTCTGAAAGTTCAGAAGAAATGATGAATAGGCCAAAGGTGTCATTGGAAACAAATTTTTATTCACTTTAAACCAAAACATGTTTTAATTTACACATTGTATATCTAACTTTTAATACGATGAACCAAACATCCAACAATAAATGAATATGCATTTAAAATCCATTGGATGTTATTCATAGAATTATATCTCTGTATAACTTGTCTATCAATCAAACTACACCTTGTAGCATAATTCACTGTGGTCATTTAGCATGGAGGGAGGAAATTAATGGGATACAATTGTTCAGGCTGATCAGTTAATTCTCTAATTTAGACAATTATGCTTTCTCTATCAATCTCTGAAATGAAGCTGAACAAATAACAACAGAAAAGCTATATCAAGGGGATAAACACACACACACACACACACACACACACACACACACACACACACACACACACACACACACACACACACACACACACACACACACACACACACACACACACACACACACACACACACACACACACACACACACACACACACACACACACACACACACACACACACACACACACACACACACACACACACACACACACACACACACACACACACACACACACACACACACACACACACACACACACACACACACACA